GCTCTTCGCATGACACTTTAACCCTCATAGTGTAGCATGCCAACAACAAGGGGGTGATCGGCTGACAGCTCTGTGTCTCTTTTAACGCGAACATATGTTATAGAACTTATGCGCCGTAAGACAAAAAATACTATTATCAAATCGATCGTGGACTTCTGTTTACACCCTTTCTTATACTAGGTATTCTGGTGCACACTTCGATACTCGAAGATGTTCATAATAGACAGACCGTTTTTTGCACCAAACCGCAACAGCGTCATGTCAGAAATGTTCAGGTCACTATGACTGCTCTTTTCAGCCGTGTCCTTTTATTCTTCAGTGTCTGTTCTGAAGAAATCGCCCATTAGAAAGAGGGACTCTGTAGTCGGCACTTTGTACAGAGCACATTCCACAACCTCAATGAATAACTCATATTCACCCTCTAAATTTGGACATGTAACAAGGTCCAGGCTTTAGTTTATTGTAGCTTCAATTGGAGGATTGCCAGTCTTCCGCTGACAAGCTTCCACTCAATGATTCTTTAATCGAAGTTGGGTTCTACCAGAACGCCAACACCGCCCCTGAGCGCGCGTCGTGATATCGACACCTGATTAGAATGGCTTCCATCCGCAGAGGCTCAGGATTCCAGAGCTTTGGCGTTTCTTTGACGAGAGTCCAACTATGTCGAGTTGGTCTCTCAAGACCTCATCAGCTAACTACTGCACTTTCCCTCCTAGTGAGGATGTATTCCAATTTCCCACTGTAAGCTTCCACTGGTGGTGTCATACGGGGATATACGATAAGGGGCAAGTGGTTAAATTGTACAGCGACGCTGCCACGGTCTCCAATCCTCCACCTTTCTCATCCGGGCTTTGGTCAGCTTAGATTGGAGTTCAAACGGGAAAATCTGATAAGACGCCAGAGGTTGGTTGTGACATATGTCACAAATCATAATGCTATCATATGTGCCACTCGCTTAAGGTTTCAATGGAATATTTTGCAGTTTGCAAAAACGCCATCCAAACGTTTAGAATAGGAAAGTAATAGTTCAGAACCGCAAATCTGAGGTTCTTCTAACGGGGTTTTCATGTGCCAATAGAATTTTCTTCTGTTGACAAAAGTTTCGATCGAATAAGTAACGATTCAACGCCGATCGTGAATGCGCTATTTGCATGTCGATTACAAAGCTGACCGCAAGACACTGACAATACGGTAACTTTAACTGTAACCTTTGCAATGTTTGATAAATGGTCATTTCAGCAGTCCATGAAGTGCGATCAATATTCAACGGGACTCAACATAATGTTGAGGTCGTCTGAGTACAGTAGATCATGAAATTAATTTAGTTTTATCAAAATTAAACAACCCCGCTGTTCTGGGATAGCTTCCGATACTGCCATTAAATATGTTACATTCAAAATAACATGTCCTGATTGAAACGGCGGAAAAGTACAGTGTAAGGAAGGAAAAATATATTTGTCGCTTTACTCCAGCTGTATTATTA